AACTTTGGACACAGCAAGGCCAGGAGTCAAGCCATCAAAGTTAAATTCTAGAAGGGTTTATACACCCCCTTGCTTAATAAAACACCCACATTTTCTTCAGAGAGGCAGTCTCTGAGTAACAAAGCAAACGAGCAAAAAATAACCTGTCTTACCTTCCTGATTCTCCTTTCAGTCATGGAAAGTCTTCGTACCTTCCGGTCCAACAAAGGTGACCTGGAGACAGGAAGAGCTGAATTTGTAGGGGAGAAACACTTTCTGGACCCCCTGTTATCTGTTTGGGGACCTTTCTTCTCTTTTCCAAATTCTCAGCCTCCCTCCAAATGAAAGGTCTCCCAACCCCCTCTGTCTGCCCATCAACCATTCAAAATAATTTCAAATAGACAAATAAAAATCTACTGTAATTCCATTATCCGGGACATTTTTGCCCTCAATCTTCCGGAAGTTTTACTTTGTGCAAGTCTATATGGACAGGTGTATAAATGTAATACAAGTGAGAGCATACCTTCTGTTATCCTTTTAAATTAATAGAGATCTTGTTGCCGGGTAAACTGGGAAAACTCGGGCCCTGAGGCCTCGACTGAGCCGGTCCCAAAGGAGTCGCCAAAGGTTATTGGTCTTGTCAGGAGACAGAATCCAAAGACAGACACAGAACACAGCGGCGACACGAGGGACACAAGTGGGAGAGTTTGTGGAAGTGAAAAGTACACTCTTGAGATAGGAGTAGGAGAAAGCTCCAGAGAGACAGCCAGCTGCCTCCCTGGGGTTCGGGTTTCTTTCTTTTATCCTAGGTGTTAACTAGGATGTTCACTAGGGATGAAAAGCGGGGTTTCAGGCCTTTTTTTCCTAATTTGCTCAGGGGCTTTCTGTCAGTTCGCCGCCATTTTGGGCCTGTCTGGTGTGACGGGCCTCTCACTTTCCAGATAGCTGGCCATGACTTCCTCGTTGCTGACCTCCAGGCATCCTGTTGCAAAGTAACTAACTGCCTACTCTAACAGTACCAGAAGGAGAGCTATTGTCAGGCATACCTGTTTTTTTTTTAATCTGAAAGGTTTTTCTGTCAGGCAGAGCAAACATCTGATTAACCAAACATCTACGCTTACCTTTCTGTGAATTGCCCCCTCCCCTTTGAAGCCCCAGGCCCCTATCCCATTTCTTAGCTCACGATGGCCTACAAGCCTCAATTGCCTGACGGCCTTTGTGAGGACGTTTTGGAGTGAAGGGGGAAGGGGGGTTCGGAGCCAACGGACAAGCAAGAATTCTTGAAGACCTCTTTGGTGCAAAAAGGTGATTTTATTAAAGCAGGGGGACAGGACGGGTAGGCAGAAAGAGCTGCCCTGGGGCTGTGAAGAGTGACTGATTATATACCCTCAGGCTGGGGCGGGGTGGGGTTAGGGGTAGAGTGTATCTCTAAGGAATTTTGGAAGCAAATTTTCTAGGACCTTGAGGGAGTAGCTGTTGTTAGAAAAATGTCATTTATTACCGTTTAGTGAAACCTCAGTCATGAGACCTTCAGATGTATATCAGGGCCCATAAGCTGAGAATATAATTGCCAACATATACTTGGGGGTTAAAGATAAAGGAGGTTTGCAAAGGAATTTTTATGTGTTTCAGGAGACTTACAGGATCTTGGGGGGTCGGGGTAATGTTAAGCTAAGGCTCTCTTTTGCCCCCAGCAAAGTGTGATCATTGAGGCAGCTGAGCTCCCAGAGGGAGGTCACTCTGCCGGTTTCATGGGCTTGTCAATGGGGTGTAGACAGTAAGGAAATTTAATTTTTCATTTGCCTTAGTTTCCCCCATCACCATGGCAAGCACTTAAACCCCCTTCCATCTTGATGAGGGTGATATTAGGGCTCCAAGAAGTGGAGTCTATAGGTTTCTGGGAATTAGGCTGTGGATAAGATTGCCTTTTTCTTGTAGTTTACTAAGCTCTCCATAAACTGAAGGAGACTCCTGTCCCGCAGGACTGTGATCTCCACGAGTCAACCATCTGCTTTCTTTCTTTCCCTGTTCTTGGGTGGCCAGGAGTGTCCGAGGAATATCACACATATCCCACCTGGGGTGGGGGGTGTGGGGGCAGAGGGGTGCTGTTAGCCTGTACTTTGCCCTCAGCTTGCCCCACACCCCCTCATCATTTGAGTCTCCTGTCTTTGCGGGGCT